GTATTTTTTTACTTCATTTCTTTTGTATAGTATACTAACAATCAAATCTATCATTAACATCTGTAAAAAGTTTATTGGTTTAACGTTATTGATTTTTAATAGTGTCAAACACTAATATACATACTTGACAACAGAGCTACTCAAACTTCGAAACATTCTGATTGATTGACTGGTTGGAACTGCTGTATTTCTTTCCATCTAAACATATAATCTTAGTAATTATCTGTATACATGGATTCTAAATACTCTTTATATATATTTATTATATAACTTTCTTATAAAACCAACAGTTATCAGTGTTACATGTGAATGTATGTATGTAAGCGCGCGGTTCAAATTATTCCGAGTGAACTCAAATCAAAATAATTTGACACCACACACCTTACTTCACTTTGATTGTATAATTTAAATATACAAATATAAAAATATAAATATATTTAATAACATCACAAATCTATCTGTTTATTTATTTAGTTTTGTGTGCATATAATATTTGGTAAAGTTTATTCTATTGGAATAGAATGTAATGTTTATACCCACTAATTTACCATCGTACATCTCAATATTTTTTTCTTAAAATGACATTTCCGCCAACGATTTTGTAGCAAAGTGTCAATCCTATTTTAATAATTCTTTTGTCATTGTTTAGAAAAATTATCATTTCATTAAACTCTAAAAAGAATTTTTAGTTAAAATTTAAAAAGTTGTTTTAAAAAAAGTGTAGCCAGTTGGAATGCATACATTCAACATTGAAGTTATAGTTTGAATGAATAACTGAAAATATATACAAGTGAGATGTCGTCAGCAATCCCTTTTTTAACAAGGAGTTTGTTGATTAATAATAAAATGACGTCATTTCCGCCAAACTATTCAAACGGACTGACAAAAATCAGACTAACAAGAAAATAAATATGTATTTATGTATGTGTGTGTGTGTGTGTGTGTGTGTGTGTGTGTGTGAGTGTGTGTGTGTGTGTGTGATACATACATGAAATGAAAGAAATAAAGTAAGCCAAAATTTTATTTAAAATCATCCGGTTAAAAATATATTTAAATAATTAATACCAACACATAGCTTGTTTATTGAAACTTTGTGTATGAATGAATGGATGAACGAACGAAAGAATGAATGAATGAATGAACGAACAGATGAATGAATGAACGTACAAACAAACGAATGAATGAATAAACGAATGAATATGAATATATATAGATACATACACAAACATTTACATGTACATATTTAAATTTCAAAATTGTTTAAGCAAGTAAGAAGTGGTAAGTAAATAAGAAATTTAAGAAGAAGTAAATTTAGAATTCATGACGACAAACATGTAAACATGCATACAAGTATCTAAAATAATTTTTTAAATAAAAAATATATTTAATAATTAAATAAAATTATTATTAATTGCGTGTGTACGTTATCCGGTGTTCAAACCAAACGAGCCAACTAGGAAGTTTGGGTGACGTTCCTAAATTTCCTTCTAGTAGAGTTAGTATATTGTCGTTAAGCATGTATGATAGTGTTTTGTATACATCAAATAAGGTTTTATTGATACGAATGATTGAAAGGTTGAGAATGTATGAATGGAACTGGTATAAATAGGAGCCGAGAACGCGTTGAAATCAGACCGGCGCTCTGTGGCATTCCCTTAGCGTCCGGTCTCATTTTTTTACTTTTTTATTTTATTATTTCTAGAATTATTTGTTTATTTTAATTTTACGTTTGCTTATTTTATTTTATTTATCTATTTATTAATTTAATGTTTAATATTATTGCGCGGTTATATAGAGTTCTACATACACACTCATACATATACACATAAATACACACACATACATACACACATACCTACATACATTCGTTGTTTTGTTTGCTCGATGTTTTATCCTCTTTTCTTCACTTTCGTCTTCGTAATTGTACAAATAGGTAGGATTAATTCTTAAGTTGAGCTAATTGAATATAGGTAGGTGAATTAATTTAGTGAACATAGGTAAGTTAGGGACTCTATTCTTTCATTCTTACGTTCTAGTTTATTTGTACTTTATTATATTGTTTTGTTTTGTTTGTTTTTTGTTCAACACAACACTAACAACAACAATCAAATACGACATTCAACACAATATTCTTTTCGTTTTTTGGTTTAGTTATTTATTATTTCTATGTATTCGTTACTTATTATTTCTAGTTTTATTTGTTTATTAGTGTCATTGTTATTGCGCGGTTTTATAGAGTTTATCATACACACACACACATACACACACACACACACACACACGTACATACATACATACAATCGTTGTTTTGTTTGCTTGATGTTCTATCCTCTTTTCCTTACTTTTTTCTTCGTAATTGTACAAATAGGTAGGATTAATTCGTAAGTTGAGCTAATTGAACGTAGGTAGGTGAGTTAATTTAGTCAAAATAGGTAAGTTAGGGTCTCTATTCCTTCATTCTTACGCTCTAGTTTATTTGTATTGTATTGTTTTGTCACAACACCAACAACAGCAATCAAACACGACAATCAATACAGTGTTATTTTTGTTATATTTTAGTTAAGTTTCGTTATATCTTGTTTTAGTTATTTATTATTTCTAGACATTCGTTATTTATTATTTCTAGACATTCGTTACTTATTATTTCTAGACACTATCGTTTTATTAACCCCCTCATGAACGGCTGCCTTGACGCGGCGAGGGGCTTCTCACTAAATGCCGCTCAAATAAGTGCTTCTTTTTCTTCTTCTTCACTTGTTTGTTTTCTTAAAAGTGCAATTCTTTATCTTTTTCTTGGTCGTATTTATTAGCGAAAATCCTCTCAAACATAGTACATACGAACATGCAAATATAACGTACACAAACATACAAACAACGGCACAACACACGAACATACAAATACATACATAAATACATACATACATAAGTACGATAGTTAAATAAAATAAATTAAATTCAGCACAGAAAGTAAATAATCTACATATTCCAAAAAAGTCTGTCTGTCTGTCTGTCACACACATCCTTCTAAATTCGCTTCATTTACAGTCAAACTTCCGATCAAGATGTTTACAATTGAAGATGAAGGACCAAAATGTAAAAATGACGTCATAGTGGTTGCAGCAGTCTTTTCATAAATAATTTAGTTTGATAATTATGTTTCATATTATAATTATTTATATTATTTATTACTTACCATTTAGTTTATAGGCTGTCATCGTTGATGACTTCATCGGCGTTGACAACCTTAAGATCACATGATTAAAATTGCGCGCGTCATGCAGTCGGCTTACAGGTACAACTGTTCGTTTGTGCGTGCGTGCGTGTGTGTGCGTTCCTGTGTGTGCGTGTGTGTGTATATGTGTCGTGTGTTTATTTGTCACTTTGGTGTCAAGAAAGTTTATTTACAATCGAATGAGAAACAGTTTAAGCTAAATGATAAAAACTAAAAATATAAACCTTCATTTTTAAGTAGTACCAGAAACAGGAGTGTTAGAAGTACCTATTATTATTTTTAGTGATAACCGCAGAAGCAGCTGTAGCAGCTACAACAACAGCAGCAGTAGTAGTAGTAGTAGAAGTAGGTGTGGAAGCGATGATAGTAGTAGTTGTTTCAGGTGCATAGGAAGTGAAAAGATGGAATCAGCTGTCTGTTGGAAGGACTCGTACAATTTGTTCTCTACATTTTTTTCATGTTTTTCTATTTTTAACTTTGAAATTTTTTCTAAGTAACTCAGATTTTTTTTGCATTTTTTAACTTTTGTATGCTTTCATGTAGTGTTTTTTTTACCCAAGATAAGTTTTAAACCCAAATAAATTTTAATTTAAAAAGGGTATAAAATTCAGAAAAGTAATTCCGCCATTTTAATTGCTGCTAAATATTAGATGAACTTCATTATTGCGAGAAGAAAAATTGAGGATGAAATTTTTTTCAAGGAAGTAATGCTTTAAAAAATTGAAACAACTCAATTTCTTTCGTACTAAAACCATCGACTGCCTCGGGGCGGTCGGGAGACATTTTCCTCCCAACAATTGACCGCGGGTCATATCAAAAATTAATTTTTATATAGATTTCTGTTGAATTTTTCTTTTAAAAACATTCGTTTTACTGACTTGCACGTTATGAAAAACATTTATAGGTCATGATCAGAATAAATATTTGACGAGCTTTGTGTTAAATTAAAGGATGAAAAAATAAAAAGATAAATTTTGATCTCTTTCTGAATAAAAGTTAGTAACAAATTTTTATACTTTACATTTAAAAAGTGTAGATAAATTTCTTTTCTAATTAAATCAAACCTAATTCAAAGCTGCATAATTAATCAATACGTTGTTGTAAGTTACAATGTAATCCTATGCAATTCATCTATTTGATGTACATTTTATAGCTATTTTAGAGAAAATTTTTCATTTACTATAGAGTTAGGGTATTCATTAAAATTTATAATGAATGTATTCATTTATTCCATAAGTTTTTGGTGTTAAAAGTTTTTTATTTGAATGAAATATCGAAGTATTATTTTAGGATGACACATGGTCAGTCAGTTAGTTCAGTCGGTGGGAGTTCCGTGTCTCGTGTTATGGCCTCGTTCCAGTACTGTGATGTTGTGCGCGTGTGATGCGGTGCGTATGCGTCCTTTCAAACGTTGTCCTTTCAAACATGCGTCCTTACTTCGTTGAGGTCGTGTGTTTAAGCTTAGTTAGAAAACTGTGTTTTAAGAATACTACACTATACTACACTGAGATGGTTTATACTATATAGATTTGTATATTGAATGAGATGTATAATATAATTATTATAATTACAATAAAATTTATTAATCATAATTACCATAATATGAATACTGCGCTACGAATACTACATGTAGGTATACTATAAATAAGATTACTATGGAACTGTAGTGCGTGTTCTGTGATACTTGATGGTAGCTAAAAGAATTAAGATAGAGTTTAACGGGCCATCACTTTTTAATGTTTACTTTTAGTCTTTGTTTTACGAAAGCGAGTTCACCAAAAAAACAAAATGTCTATCCTGAGTGAAGTATAAAAAGAGATAAACTTGTCATTTTTTTATCTGATATGAGTGAAAAAGTCAATTCCATTTTTTCGTCGGCCTCTTCATCTTTTTCTGAACTCTCTATCACCCAAAAAATGGCTAAAATTAGTTAGTTGGATGCATTTTTAGATTTTTTTTGCTTGGTTCATTTTAATTTAAAAGTTAATTAATTTTTTTATATTTACTTATTTTATCAATTATTCATTTGCAAATTTGGCATCTGCACTGTTTTGATTGAAAATTATAAAATTTTTATTCATTTACTCCTGATTAGGTTAATATTTATTTTGATCCAAAAGTGCACATTTTGGAATTGTATTCTGTTTTATTATGCTTTATTTTATTTTATTTATTATTATAGAATGCAGGTCGATTAAACATTAAATAAATTAATTAAATAAATAAGTGTTATCTTATCTTAAACCAACACTAACATACTGTTTTTTTACTTTTTTATTTTGATTATTCAATCATTTTTTCATAAAAAACTCCACAAAAAGATGAATTTGATATAACAAAGGAGATCTATATGAATGAAGCCTGGCCGATCATCCAAGAGGCCTTGCATCAGATACTGACAATTAGGCCCCCACAGTTTTCAACATGGTCATTTGAAGAAATTTATAGGTATTGGGTAGATTTTTTGGAATTTTTTTCAAATTTCATAAAAATTAATTTTAGTATTTTTAACAGTAAAATGTTGCAGCTGCTGCCTAATTAACCAACTAATTAGTTTTAGAGTATTAAAGTTGTTTAAAATAATATTTTTAATTTATTATAATGATTAATTATTAATTTATATCAAAATTTGGAAAAGATTATTAAATATTCTCTGACGATAATTTTTGTTTTCTATCCAGCTTCGTTTTTAAATGCACTAGAAACCATTTGTATGTTTTGTACGATGACCTGACAAAATATATCGAGGCCCATCTCCAGAAAGTCAATGAAAAAATTCAGGTTTTTTTTCTAAATTCTTTTTTTTTTAATTAAAAATATTTCATCTTTATATAATTTCCTTTTTAGATTATTATATTCTAATTATGATATAATTTAAAAATCATAAATCCAGATCTCGACCTGTGAATCAATAATGTTTGTAAAAGAATTTCAAGTAGAATTGTTCAACTTCATGGAGTCTGTTAAAATTATAGCCTGCGTATTTATGTTCATGGTTGTTCATTTTTTAGAAATATTTTGCAAAAAAAAAATTTTTAATGAGTATTATTATTCATTTGTTATTTTACATTTAGTTTTAAATAAATTTAAAATAATCATAAAATTTAATTCTTTAAGTTAGCCATGTTACTTGTACATTATATAAACATAGATGGGCTATCAAATTCTTATTATATAATAAAGGTTATAGTACATACCTATAGGCTTACAGATTGTTGACTAGCTATATCGATGATAATTAGATATGAATATTAATTAATTAGCAATAATTAATTATTAACAATGTTGATCTTTTCCAGGATAATTATTACATAGCCAAAACTTTGAAATCTACGTTGACAGCTGATATGTACAAATTGTTTTCGACGAACGTATCTGATAAATACATCAATCATTTGCTATGTAAGTTAAGTTAGATTTTTTAAAGTATTTTTTTTTATTTCTAATCAGTTGAAATATTAATTATATTATTTAATTACCATTTAAATTTTGTTTATTAATTATTTGTTTATTCAATTATATTGATGATGCAATTAAAATTGTACTACTCCCTACTCAGCCATCTTGAATGAACTGCGAAAGAGCCCATTAGTAGTGCCGCCTAGCCTAATTCAAGATATCATCATTAGACTTCACACAATTAAACCAGGTAATTGTAATTAATTGTGATAATTATTTATTGTTATTATTATAATTAATAATAATTATTATTACATTTAGTTTTATTATGACCTAAATACTACTTTTTAACTATCTTTTTTTTACTATTTTGACAATGATGTATAATAATAATACTACATTTTTGCTTAATTAACTAATTATATTATATTAACCTATAATTATATGATCATATCTTATATAAATTATTATTGTTGAGAGTATTTTAGAATTATTTGAACTCCTTTAGATTTTCTTCATTTTATCTTTTTTACCATATCTGAAGTTTCAAAAAAATAAATTATGTTCTAATTACAATTAAATATTATCATTATAATAATTATAATTATAATTTCAGGGTACGCTCAGTTGAAGCCCCAGCTGTTCTCCATATACATCCCTAATTTGTTTCCGCCCTGTCGAGTTAGTGAGCTGGATCATTACATCAGGGAGGCCAAGCAGTTGCAGACTGACTTACACTCACATCCTGATTTCTACAGGTGCCTTTGGTCATTTTGTCATTTATTTATTTGTCTATGTCACTTATTATTATTGTTATTATTATTTAATTTCTAAATTAATAATAAATGTGAATCATAACTCAAATGTACCTAGGGAAATTGGTGTTTTTAAATGTAGCTTGTTAAGTTTTGCTTATAATTATGTTAATTTATGTTAATTTTATTACTATGCGTATTCTTCTCCGATAACAGTTGTGACCAAAGTAGAAAGAGACCAAGTAGCAATGACTGCAATAGTAACTGATTTTATTTTTTAGATATTTTACATTTTTTTAAATTTATTTTTAAAAATTATTTATTTATAATGATTTTAATAATAATGTTTGATTGAGTGATCTACTTATTAAAGTTTGGTTCTCGTCAATATTTTATTGTCACTCAATAATTATATTGATGGTTCATTGGATCCGTCATTTGACAGCACGTAATAAGTAATCGTATTTATAAATTCTTTTTTTTCTAATTAGTTTTTCAAATTTTATTGGTATCAATTTAAAAAAATTAAAACATTAAAAAAAAAGATTACCCACAAGACCAGACAACGCAGCAGCAACTCCCATCGTTTCCTACGACAGTCCCGACAACTTTTAACCTTAGTCCCAATCTTAGTCCCAGTCCTAATCTTCAGCCAACTTCTCATCTCGGCATTCAACCAAATCCCACCAATCCTTCTCTTAATCCGGACTTTAATCATCTTTCTAACGATGATTCTAATTTTGATTTAAATCAATAAAAAATGTTACGCGTTTTTGTTTGAATTGTTATATTTTGTTGTTGAATGTACTGAAGTTTCAAATAAACACCACTTTTTGAAGAGAATTTAGTTAAATTAAAAAAAAATTCTATTGTTTCTCCTCGATTTGTTCAAATCCGTGTTCCTCCTGAAGAATAATATTAATTCTTACCATATTTGTTATAAAATTCGTCTCTCGTTGTAACTTTTTCAATGGTCTTTTTTTTTCAAGATTATGCCGATGTGTGACGTATCTATCAATCGTAATTGTATCATCATGTTACTATGATATGCTATCATATTTTTAGTTTGGTACAATTCATATGTTGCATAATATAGCAAAATTAAATTAAATCCAATTGTTGAATGCTGATATCCATATAAGTATTTGATCGTAAAGTATTTTTACGGTTTTTTGTTTGGTTTTTGACAAAACTTGGCGTGACCATCTCAATATTATAATGATGTTGTTATATCTAATAATACGGTAAAGAATGACTTGTATATAATTTGCAGGTGAATTATGCCTCATATCTGATGTAATAAACTGAGCTCATGTCAAAATTTGCAGTGTTTTTCTGTGTTGTTTTTGTTTCAGCGACTCATTTTCAAACTCCTAACATCATTCTTTATGAGTCTAGTAATATTTTTCATTATGTTTGATAGTATGACTATTTTATAAGCAGGCAGAAATTTTACGTAAAGACTAGCATGGTGATGAATATTTTGTGTGATTGCATGTTTAACGCCTATTAATTATCATCACCCAGTCATCAAGTTGAGTAATTCATGTGATTCTCTGTAGGATTGACAGTTTTAGCGGGATTCTGTGAGTCTGTCTCCTAAAAACTTTTGCATTGTTCAATTTTTCACTCTAAATGTTTTGGACATTTTGATGTTTTGGGCATTATCCGGTTTTAGGATTAGAAAATGATCAGTAACTAATCTCATATATGTAAGTACTGTACAAGGATGTCGAAAGTTTGAGAAGAATTGTTGGCTTCTGACTGATTTGAATAGAAAAAGTACTTTCTTTCATAAAACTGATCATGTTCTTTGATGGCAGCAAACTTTTTGATCGAAATAATTAGCAATAATTACGTAATTAATTGACGAATAATAATTGCAATTAATTATTGTCTGAGATGGAGAACTTTTGCTATTGGTCCGACGGTGATCACGTGTCTTGACGTCAGCATCGCTGTTACACATTTTACCGAAACGGCCATGTTTACACATATTTTTGTATAATAATTGTTTTTTCTTGTAAATTAACAATTTTGTGTGTCACGCGTTAATTTAATGTTATTTACGCCAACAGTTGTTTGTAAGGTTTACAATTTTATCGATTATCTACTTTTCTTTTTTTTTCGTATGGTTGGACTGTTACAGTTCACTTTTCTAACAAACTGTGAGATTTCGCAAAAAAAATACCAGATTGGATCTGTCCCTCAGAACATTTACTTTTACACATTCAGTAATTTTAGTAGCTAATCACTAATTAATTAGTCTTAGTCAGTGCGAGAACAGAATTAGCTTCCACGATATCTTAATTTGAAAAATTTTGTCATCACATGTGTGTACAGTGTACACTGTACAGGTATCTCAAAATCATCATAAACAGTTGGTTCAGTTGTCAGTTAATCAAACATAGATGTGACTATGACGTGAATAGAATAATAATAATAATTGATTAATTAATTAATAAAATAAAACCTAAAGATTGCCATTTAATTATTTTATTGTAAATAACTGGCTCTTCTGTATATATATAATTTTAGTTTTGGTAGCATCAACATTCTAATAAGTTTGTTAAATAAAATTTATTAAATAATGGCAAAAGAGCCAAAACAAGTTACCAGCAAACCTCTGCAGTGCATTGTCAACTTTCTTGATGGATCAGAAGCTTCATTTGAGGTTGAGGTAAAAAAAGAATTTGTATTTTTTAACTGTTTGTTTGGTGTTTGATAATTAAGATTGTGATTATGATTATTCATTATTGGCTACTTATTGGTTTTCATTGTACAACTTTGTTTTGTACTATTCTATTTGTTTATTCAATTTTTTAATTGTAATTGAAATAGTTAATTTGAAAAATAACATTAAAAAACTATAATTATATAAATATTAAATAAAAGTCCTAAATTCCCATTTTCTAAGTGGCATTGTCGAATAAACGGTTCAATCGTGTGATTTGTAATTAATTAAATTGAAATTATTTATCTTTATTTTTAATTTTATTTAATTTTTCAAAGATACTTTATACATTTATAATACATACATTGAACTGAATATTATTAATCTACTGAATAAATGCTATTAATTACTTTTTTTCATTGTAAATTATTTGCTTAAATTTTAAATTATATGAATTATTAGAAAAAAGAAAAGGCCCAAGTCCTGCTGAACAAAGTTTTTGATCATCTGGATATTTCTGGGAGAAAATACTTTGGCTTACAGTTCATTGACATATCAAGCTCAGAGGAGAATGTTAGAAAATTAAAATTCATCTTTATTTAGTTATTTTTTTCAATGTTTTTTTAAGTTTAATGTGACCTTTTCTAGTTACTCTTTTTTAATTTCATGGCACAGTCGTTCAGTTCATAATCTGTTGTTTACTTATTTAAGATTTTTTGTCTGTTTATTTAAAAAAGTACATTTTTGCACTTAAAGACAGTTTAGTTATTACCTATTGGATCATTGTTCCATTTGATTTGAAACATTTTTATATTCATTCTATTTTCTTTTTTTTGTTTTAAATCTTTAGTTCATTCAACTATATTTGCTTATACATTCATATTCATCTGTCTTTTAATCTATTCATTCATTCATTCATTCCCACCATTTAGTTATTCTATCTTTCATCCATCTATACTCATCCTGAGAACCAGTCCTGGTGTTATGCAGTTGACCTTCGACCTCATTACGATCTAGCTGCTTGATTCTTTCATTTACTTACTTAATTAGTGGCTGTTTGTTGTTCCACTATTATATTATACATCACTATACATTGGTTTAACTCTGCACTACTCCTTATTATTGAAAGACATGTACACATACACCTACTTTTTTCCATTGCTCCTTCTCTCTCTCTCCTCTCTCTCTTATTCGTTCTCTCTTTCTCTCTTTATTTCTTCTTGGCTCTCTTTCTTTTTTCTCTCATTTGTCTATTTTAAACACAAAATGTTTATGAACGAAATGCGTTCTGTTTTTAACTGAGGAACAAATGATTATCGTGTCGTTACTATGTCCACAATAATAGTTAAATACACATAAAGTACAGAAGTTAAAATTGTGGTGAATTTAATCTATTCAGTTAAAATTCACATGTGTGTACATACACATACATTCCTGAACTTGTGAAATAAACCTACACACACACACACACACACACACACACACACACACACACACACACACACACACACACACACACACACACACATGTTTGTACTAATATTCCAGTACATGAGCAAAAACAAATTCAGAATCTTATTAGAATTAAAACGAAAGCATTCACATGAAAACAAAAGAAAATAAACCACATAAAAATAATGCAATATTCATTTTTGATATTCTTTCTCTTTAACTTTCAATTTGTCAAACGTCATTGTATTTTACTTTTTTTCCTGTAAAAATTAATTTTTTTCTTGGTTTCCTCTTCTTTCAAAGTTATTTTGAGAGTAGTTTTTTTTATTAAAATTATTTCCAGATGATAGGCAGTGGCTATGTTACAAGATTATGATAACCACCATATTTAATTGGTGCTAAACTGCTACTACTGCTGCTGTTACTACTACTACTGCTGCTACTGCTGCTGCTACTTATAATACTAATGTGAATAGTATTACTAATGCACTGGTAATAATGATGACGATTCTAACAAATAATACTGATAGTTAATAACATTACTTATTATTCATCATCACAGGTGTTAATGTCTATTGATCATATTATTATACCATTCTTTGTTGTTACTACTGCTACTATTATTACTGCTAGTACTTCTACTGCTGCTACTACTACTGCTATTGCTACTACTTCTTCTACTACTACTACTACTACTACTACTACTGTTGTTGTCATTGTCATTATTGTTATAGTTGTTGTATTGCTGTCACTGACTGCCAAAACTACTACTACTACTATTTCTCTACTACTTCTACTATTATTACTAATAAAATTGTTAACAGCAAGGAGAATGGTATTAATAATAATTATAATAATATAAGTAATAATAGCAATAATAATCACTTTCTTATATCGTGAGTAATAATAATAATAATAATAATAATAATAATAATAATAATAATAATAATAATAGCAATAATAATCACTTTCTTTTTTCTATTTTAAAAGCTGGCAGGATGTAGTGAGGCTGAATTAATGGTTAGTTATTGTACAATTTTTGCCTTTGATATATAATGATTGGGTTGTCATTATTATTATTTGTTATTATTATTATTATGAAATGTGAAATAAATCAATTTTAAAACTAATTAACTCTGGTCTTCAAATGATGAGCTTCTCAGATTAATACTTTATTTATTGCATTTGACATTTTATTTTATTTCATTAGTTTATTTTATTTGTACTGTCATTTTCATGGTTTTTATTGCTGAATAAAAGATTGTTCCCATTATTATTATTATTATTATTATTATTATTATTACTATTAGTTAGTTAGTTTCGAGAAATAAAGTATTTTTCCATTATTATCATTATTATTAATAAATTTAAAATATGTATATAAATATATGAGGGTTATTATTAATAAGTAATATTCTTGTTCTTCTTAATATAGTAATTATCATAATTCCTGTTATGTTATTGTTATTATTATTACTCTTTCTTAATTATGTAATTATCGTTAATATGACTGATATTATTATTATTATAAAAAAAACTACTGCTATTTCTACTACTACTACTACTACTACTACTACTACTACTACTACTACTACTACTACTACTACTACTACTACTACAGCTACTGCTACTACTACTACTCTAATGATATTAATACAAGCTATTCTTAAAATATTTGTATTTTGATCTTAATGTTTGTATTGTATGTTTTAATTTCTTTTATTAGCATGGCTTGAACTATTTCATTCATTCATACATACATAAATACATACATACATACATACATACTTTATTTATTCATTTGTTTTTTATTCATTCATTCATTTATTTGATCATTCATTCTTCTTTCATTCATTCATGAATTTCTTTGTTAGTACCTTTACTCAATTTCTTCATTTGCTCACCTATTTTTTACCTTTGATAATTAGCTTATTTAATTTAAGCACACCTACACTAACTACATACACTTCATTTATTGATTCTATCTCTCTCTACCCTCTTTCTCTCTGTCTCTTTTTTTCTGTCTATCTTTCTCTCTCTCTTTCTCTCTCTCTTTCTCTCTCTTTCTTTCTCTTTCTCTCTCTCACAGCTTTGGTTCTTGCTCTACAGTTCACAGAGTCTGAGTAGGAATCAATTAAACACATGAAGATAGTGTTAATATGTAACAATGGAATTGTATTATCATTATTATTATTATTTTTATTATTATGTTTTTTATTCATTCTGTTATTTATTCATTCATTCATTCATTCATTCATTCATCCATTTGTTGTTCATTCCTTTATTTACACTACAAATTTTTTCATGAATTTCATTCAATCAATAGTTCATTCATTCATCTCTTTGTTCATTCATTCGTCTATTTGTTCATTCATTCATTTGTTCATTTATTCACTTATTCGTTTTATCATTCTCATTCAATTCATCCAACCATGAAAAGATACATGAATGTTCATGAATATTAATTCTTTACCTAAAAGACCAGTAGTAAGTACAAAAATGTAGATAGAATTAATTTAAATAATTAGTTAATGAATGCATTTCCATTTAAATCTTTTCATTTTTCCATAATAATTTTATACATTTTTCAGATATGATTGTCTCAAATAAATTATAACTTCTTTGTTGTTAATAAAGTTTCATTTGATCATTATTCATTATATGTATATGACATGCAGAGATGGATTGATCCAACAAAGTCAGTAAAGAAACAAATGAAATGTAAGTTATGTTATCTGTTTTCTATATGTTTGTTTTTGTAAATGTGGTTATGTATGTAGTTTCTCTCTCTCTCTCTCTCTTTCTTTCTATTTCTCTCTTTCTCTCATTTTCTTTCTCTGACGTTTTTATTATCTTTTGTATGCCTGTATCCAGTTTTTTGTAGTTTAAAAAAGTTTATATGTGTATATATGCATGTGTGTATTTTAGTTTTTGTGGTTGTGTGTGTCTTTCTCTACCTTTGTGTTTTTCTGGTTATAGCTAAGTGTATATACATATGTGTAATAAATATATTTTATGCTCATGTTATAAACAAGGGCCTTCTTAAATTTGCTCATTTATCATGGCATCTATCATAGAAATGTCATTATTAAATATTTTTTTGTGTCCTTTCTGCTCTTTGTGATAATAATGTTCTCATTCTTTAGACATTCTGTGTTGCTTTATTTTTGTTTTAAGCTAAAATAATTACGCAAGGTTAAATAGTAATGCTATTTATGTTAATAAAAAAAAACTATTATGATCTGATCTTCAGCATCTTTATTAAAGGATTTCTTTCTCTATTACAAATTACTATTTTGAAATAAAGAAACATGTTTGTGCGTGCGTGTGTGTGTGTTTGTGCGTGATGTTCATGTATGTGTAGAGTATATGTGTGTGTGTAAACATGTTGTTACATTGTATCTTTAGACAGGATGGGGATGGGCTGATTGATTTACTGAATGTACAATGAGAAATGAATGAATGATTGAAAGAGATAATATATGAATGAATGAAGGATGGAAGGCAAAAATGAAAGAATGAATGAGGGAGTGACTGAATGATGGAATTGTTCGAACTTATTAAGAGACAAGAATTGCTCTGCTAAGAATTATTCTTTTAAATGGAAAAAGTATATATTTGTGTGCCTGTGTGTGTCTGTGTGTGGCTTGTGTTATTTGTGTTTGTTATATGTTAAAATTTTCAAATTGATATCTTTTATCTGCCTAATTATTCTTTCTCACCTAATTCAATCAATCATTCATTCATTCGTTTATTCGTCCTTTCATTCATTCGTTCATTCATTCATTCGTTCGTTTAGTCATTCGTTCAGTCATTCATTCATTCGTTCATTCATTCATTCATTCATTCGTTCATTCATTCATACACTCTCTCAGCTCCTCCTCCACACTATTTCTACTTTCGAGTAAAATTTTATGTGCCACATCCTGATCAGTTGGCTGAAGAATACACAAGGTTGTTCATTTGACAGATTGATTGATTGGTTGATTAATTGATTGATTGATTGTTTAATTGGCTGGCTGGTTGGTTGGTTTGATGACTGTCACGTTGTTTGATTGGTTGGTTGATTGATGGATTGATTGATTGATTGATCAATCAATCAGTTGATTGGTTAATTGATTGATTATTTTTTTAGCCAATCAATGATTTCAAAATCCCACCATACTTGCACACCCAAGGTACCACTTTTTTTTACAACTCATCAAAGACTGGATGTCAGGGAAGTTGAAAGTCAGCCAGAAGGATGCAATCACATTGGCTGGCTATGCTGTACAATGTTAGTAGTATTTGTTTGTATGCGTTTGTATCTGTATCTATGTGTGTGTATGTGTGGTGTGTGCGTGTGGGTGTGTTTTACGTGTGCCTGTAAATTGTGCAAATTTAAGAATCCTTTCTATCTTTACATTGATTTTAATTCAGTTTAAAAGTTTATTTCACAAAAAAGTTTTGGTTAAACATTACAATGATGGTTTATTTTTCATTATTGGAATGGTTCTATTATAATGATTTCGTGACTTTATGGTTATTATGCTGTAATTTTATGGAAAATTTATGATAATTTTGTAATAAATCTCATGATAATTTATGAATTTTTTGTTTACAATCTAAGCCGACCTTGGTGATTACAACCCTGATGAGTTAGGCGATTACCTAGCTAATGTTCAATTCCTGGCTCATGAAACACCAGCATTTATCAGCAAAGTTTCATCTCTACATAGAAAATTAAGGTCTGGAATTAAACTTTCAAAATTTGAAAAAAATGTTTATATTGATTTTTTTCTTTAAATATTTTTACTTTGTGTATCTTTTCAATTTTTTTTTAAACATTACTTTATTATTTATTTTATTGATTTTTTTTCAAAATGTTAGATCATTCACCTTAAGCAATTTTATTTTATTCATTCATTCTTTAAAAGTTTATTTATCATGTACATTTCTTCAATTTATCTGCATGTTTTTCTCAAAATTCATAATTTTTTGTTAGCACAGGTCAATAATACTAATAATATTAATGATAACAACACACATTGACATTCACATTCCTACACGCACATAGCCTAGAAACACATATATTTACACATAATAGAATAGTTTAGTGGAAAAATTTTGAATAAATTAACATATATTTGGATAAATTAACATAAATTATAATCGCAGGGGTATGACGCCTGCCATGTGTGAGTTGAAGTACCTCGAGATTGCCAAGAACCTTGATGGCTATGGTGTCAGCCTCTATAAAGCTGTCCTGGTTTGTTCTGTTGATGATGATGACGATGATGATTTGGATGATGAGGATGATTATGATGATGATGATTATGATGATGATGATGATGATGAGGATGAGGATGAGGATGATGATGATGGACGTGGAGATGATTTCAAACAGGATGATGGTGATGTCTATGATGAGGATGATTTTTATAGTAGAAAAATTGAATGGTCATAAATACACAGACCTATCCACACAAATCTACACACGCACTTACAAAGACACATAATAACACTCAAACACATACACACCTAAACAAGTACTACTATCATTGCACAACAGTCAGCCAGTCACTTTTTACTGGAAGACAAATATACACACACATATATAGACACAAAAATCATGCACACACAGAGATACACAGATACATATACACGCAGATAAACAAATACACATACATTCACACAAACGCAAATACACACAAACAGACAAACACACTCATACATATAGGACAATACTAACAAAGAGATTGAGTTGGGAGTTTCATCGCATGGGCTTGTCATGTTTAGTAGAGAGGTTAAGATGAAAACGTTTACATGGTGAGTAGGGATTTTACTGATTCTAGTAATTCAATAATTTTACTAATTCACTGAATTCACTAATTTTACTAATTCACTAAATCATTAATTCACTGGTTCACCAATTCATTAATTCGCTTATTTTGCTAATAAATGGAGTAAAACTAAGAAGTTATCAGTTACGTATGTTGTTGTTTAATATTGGGGAAAATGATTATGCAATTGGTGGAGTAATTAATTATGCAATTACTAAAGACATCTATGAAATCAATTATTATTAATTAGGTAATCAAGTAATAAATTAATTACATAATTAAATTTATGTAGTAATTGAGGAAGCAATTAAGAAATTGGTGAAGTATTTAGTTATGTAGTTTACAAAGTAATTTAATTGATTAACTGAAGAATTAATTAATTATTCAATTAATTAATATTTATTTAATTAACAGGGGTCAAATAGTAAAGTTATCATTTAAAAGGAGGCTGTTTTTCATTCATCTCCACAAAGATAACGTACTGTAACTTTTGTTATTTATTGTTGTCATTATTTTCATTATTATTATTATTATTTATTATTATTATTTATTATTACAACATTTATAAAATTATCAGTCTCTCTCTCACTCTCTCTCTCTCTCTCTCTCTCTCTCTCTCTCTCTCTCTCTCTCTCTCTCTCTTTCACTCTTTCACTCTTTCACACATACACACACACACAAACCGTTCAAAACACAAAACAGGCTGACGACGCGACACCGACGGCATCTTCGATGACGTCAACGACGCAGCCCTCCTCCCTTGCACAACAGACGACAACAGCAGCTCTATCTGAAAATATTTACGGTTTCCACCTGTCGTGCTACAGGTCCTGTAAAAATCTTTGGAAGTCGTGCGTCGAACACCACACTTTTTTCTGCCTACATGCCCAACAACAATCGCAACAGCAGCACAGACAACAACAGCAGCAACAACAACAACAGCAGCAGCAGCAGCTGTTGACAAACTCGACAAAATCGCCGTCATCATCGCCGCCTTTAGATATAAAAAGCCAATCGATTTCGTTGTCGTTCTTACCAATATCAACATCTAAATACAACTCCTCAAAACAGCAGCAGCAGCTACAGCAGCAAGACGTAGTTGGTGTCGGTAATAACATCGCTAGTAACAAAAGTAACGTGAACAATAGGTCGATGGATAATGACGACCCGTCGCTATCCTCAATCATCCCTCCGCCAATGTCGGCCTCGCCCACGTCATCGTCCTTATCGCAAACCCACTACATCATTGAGCCTGCATCGTCGTTTACATCTGCGCAACTACCGAATCTTTCACAGCAGCAGCAACAGCAGCAATTTGTAGCTTCATCTTCACTTACTAAGAAACCCCAAACATATCTCGCAAGATCTGAAGCGTTTCGATCGGCGACTACCACAGACGCGCCTGCCATAAACACGCAACTGATTCGACCTAACAAATCAGTCCTTCACATTCCATCCGATCAACAGCACCAACAACAGCAGCATCAACAGCAACAGCAACAACAGTCGTTATTTGTAATGACTAAATCATCTCTCTACAACTCCAACAACAGTAGCAACAACGTTAATATTGGTTTACAAAGCGGTGGCGAGGTTACTCTAGTAAACGGTTGGTAGTCGTCGTCGTCGTATTTACTCTTTCTGATATTTCTTCGTTTCTGTTGTTTACATTTCTTAAATGTTGATGAAAATGTTCATGTTTTCATTCCTGCTATTAGGACAAGCATATTTTTCTTGGCTAATTTATTTTATTCCTGCTTCTTTATTTTTTGTTTTCTCCTAGGAAATTTTATTCTTTTGTTTCTTGTTTGAAATTAATGTTTTCATCAGTTGTTCTTTCTGTCAATCTCTTTTTATTTTTGCTTTCTTTCTTTCTTTTATTTCTCCTTTCATATCTCTCCTATCTCCCCCTCTCTCTCTCTCTCTTTCTCTCTCTCTCCTTTGTTTTCAATGAAAATGTGCAAACAAGCCTTCCTGATGGATGGATGGATGGATGGATGGATGGATGGATGGATGGATGGATGGATGGATGAAGTGTACTTATTTCTGGAAGAAAATTTTCTACTAATTAAACACTTGTGTACCAGACGTCATTTGTTTTTGCTCGTTCTCTCTCTCTCCCTCTTTCTCTCTCCCTCTTTCTCTCTCTCTCTATTTCTCTTTTTCTCTCTCTCTTTTTCTTTCTCTCTCTCTCTCTCTCTTATCTTTTACTTTTACTTTTTCCAGTTTTTTTCTTACTTTTGATCAAAAAAAAATTTTACATTTTGAAAACTAAAACTTGAGAGGGTATAGCACAAAATAAGATATTATTGAAGAATTAACGTATTTAACAATTTTCTCACCTTAGGTCCGACCTCTGACATCATAACTCCAGCAGCATTATCTCCGTCGTCGTTGACATACCCCCCACCGTCATCCTCATTGTTCTCATCATCCTCGTTATTAACCAACAACAACAACCAATCATCTACGGCCAGCACTACAACGTCACGTGTCCTAATTCCCAACTCTAAATATAGCCTCAAGGCTTTCCCCACCTCGAGCGAACGAAAGCGCACCTTTGAGAATAAGCACATCGTTGAGTTTGAGGAATCGTCTGAGGAGTTAGTTTCACTTTCATTCTCCCTTTTTTCAGAATTTTTGTTATTTCCTACCAATCTTTTTGTTTCGTTATTACTGCTTTGTTTTATTATCATTTAACTCATATAGTTATTATCACTGTTTCCATTACATCATCATTGCACCATCATCATCATTGCACCATTATCATCATTATTTTCGCCATCTAAGCATTATGAATTACTTCGTAAGCTTAATAATTTATTTCATTGTCATACAGTGAGGACGGAAAGATCCATAACGTTCCAGACAATCAAACCATCACCACCCTATCTCCAGTTATTATCATGAATAATAATAATAATAATAATAACAACAAAAACAATAATAATAATAAAATGCTGCTGAATAATTTGGGGGCCAAAAATGAAAAGGTCGTTATTTTTTATTTTGTTTTCTTTGGTTTGTTTTTATTTTTTGGTGATATGAAGAAAAGGTTTATTCTCATTTATTTGTTTGTTTGTATTTGTTACATTGTACATTATGTTGTGTCATATTTGTTTATTTTCATATTATTTGAAATCCTCAGAAATCTATCTTTCCTGTTTCGTCATCCTCATCGTCATCAATAGCCGTGACGTCATCGTCGTCGGTACCGCCGTCAACATTAAAAACGCCATCGAACATTTCCACGACAGCAGCCGCGTCATCAGCTGCAGCAGCAACATCCTCCGCAGCATCATCTTCACTGGCGTTATCAAAAACTCCTCGAAATAATTCTAACAACTGTCTAGATGGCCTGATTACGGTTCGAATGAAGCCGGACGAGCAGGGCAGATTTGGGTTCAATGTCAAGGTCTTTGGTCTTTCTAATTACGTTGCGTGTGTGCGTGCGGTGTGCGTCCCTTGCCTGTGCATGTGTATAAGCCTTTGATTGTTTATGTGGCATGTATTTTTGTTTCTTCTTTTGTTGGTCTGTTTGGAAAACAATTATATTAATACTCACTCACTTTGAATCTATCGTATTAGCTAATGATGTTATCCTAAATAAGGGTGGAGCCGACTTGAACCAGCCAATAATAGTGTCTCGGGTTGCCCCGGGCTCACCTGCCGACGCTTGCTCACCCCACCTGTCAGAGGGAGATCATGTTTTGTTCATAAACGGGAGAGATGTCAGCCAGCACACCCACCCACAGGCTCGTTTGTTGCTTGCTTGCTCGTTTGTTCGGGGGCTGGTTGTTGGTTTAAAGTTTTGTTTTTTGCTGCTGCTGCAATTTGTGAGGTTATGTTGTAGTATTTACTGATAGTTACTGTTAATTTGATTGCAGGTCGTTCAGTTCATCAGGGCTTCCAGGGAGATTCACTCAGGGGAACTGGTCCTTGTCGTCCGGCAGAATGGTGCGCTGCATAACTAACTCTCTTTCACTTATTTCATTTTTCTACCGATTGTTAAATGTAAAAACCTCTTGAAAGTAGTATGCAAGAGTGAGTCAACTCGAAAATTTTTTCATTAATGACGCACCTTTAGTCTACCTGAACGATGCGAGTCCAGGTGAGCCAGACTTTCAGTACATCCCCGATACGCATCACATGATGGCCGTCCTGCCACCTGGCGGAGACAAGTTGAGTGCCTCCATTGCCCTGCTCAGGGAATCTGTCGAGAGTAATGCCTGCCTCGTTCAGTTCGAGGTTGGTCAGTTGGTTGACCGGTCGGTTGGTTGGTTGGTTGGCCAATCGGTTGGTCGGTAAGTCGGTCGGTTGGCTAGCTGGCTGGCCGACTGGCGATTTGTGACCACTATCATGATTTATGTTGTTCATCTATTTATTCATTTCTTTAAAAACGCCTATACTCGTTTACTCATTATCATCACTCACTCACTCAGCAACTGTACCGCAAGAAGGCGGGCATGACGATGTCTGTGTGCACGAGACCTGAGAACCTTTCCAAAAATAGATATCGAGATATACTTCCATGTTTGTTTATTGATTGATCGGTTGATCGGTTGATTGGTTGATTTGTTGATTGATTTATTGATTGATTGACTGAATAATTGAATGATTGATTGAAAGATTGAATGTGTGAATGATTGATGAAGAAGTGAGTGAGTGAAGGAGTGAGAAGATGAGTGAATGAACGTACAAATAAATAAATAAATAAATGAAGGAAAGAAGGAATAAGAGTGAGTTTGGATATCGGCAATTAAATTGCGCGTAACTATGGCTATATATAATGTAAATGTAAATATAAATAGCCACTGTGATAATAATAATAATAATAATACTGATTATAATTGAGATTTTCGTAAAATGGGAATGTGTGAATTCTCTCTCTCTCTCTCTCTCTCTCTCTCTCTCACACACACACACACACACACACACACACACACACACACACAAGCACACACATACACATACATACTTACCTGTGTACAAACCCTAATCATACATCAATACGTATAACACACACGCACTAGATGATGCGACGAGAGTAAAGTTAACAAGTACGGTTGAAGATTACATCAATGCCAACTACGTCAATGTAATTTGTTGTTGTTTTAGCCCGATGTTGTTGTTTCGGTTCATGTAGTTGTTGATATTGCTGGTGTGGTTGTTTTTGTTGTTTGTCTGATGTCGGTTGCTTTCGAAATGTTAATCTACTGGCAATTTTATTTTCACATAATTACAGTAAATAAATAAAATCTACCTTAAAACATGGCAAAGCAAGCTTTCTTAATTATCACCTATAACTAATAATATAATTATTTATTATTATGCAATTTTTCGGGTTTTTCCTGACAGATGGAAATCCCAGGCTCTGGAGTTATAAATAGATACATTGCAACACAGGGTCCTCTGCCTGAAACTACCGCTGATTTCTGGGCTATGATTGTTGAGCAAGGTTTGCTATGGTGATGTGATGCAATGAAATGTGATATATTATGGTGTTTTAGGTGGTGGTAAGACGAGGACATACGTACACATGTTACAAACACACATACACATACATACTCGACACATCCATCCAGACACATTTTTACAAAATAGGGTCAACGTTGGTTGTCATGTTAACCGTAACGACGGAAAGAGGTCGTGTCAAGTGTCACAAATATTGGCCTGAACCCAACAACAGTCTGACCTTTCTTGATCTTGACCTGGTTGTCACCTGCAGAGAGGAGACTTATCCCTCGTCTTCATACATTTGTAGGGAATTGATCATCACGGTTGGAGTTAGTGATGTTGGTGGTTCTCTTAAATTCGTTGTTGGTGCTTGTGGAAGTTTTTTTTAATGTATTAGTTGACGTTTGCTTGTTTTTGTTTTAATAAAGTATCTATCTATCTATCTATCTACCTATCTATCTATCTATCTATCTATCTATCTATCTATCTATCTATCTATCTATCTATCTATCTATCTATCTATCTATCTATCTATCTATCTATCTATCTATCTATCTATCTATCTATCTATCTATCTATCTATCTATCTATCTATCTATCTATCTATCTATCTATCTATCTATCTATCTATCTATCTATCTATCTATCTATCTATCTATACTATCTATACTATCTATATCTACTATCTATATCTATCTATATCTATTTATGAACTAGTACACTAACGATAGTAACAACCGCACATCAATAACATCAACAACACAACAACAATCACATGACATGCACAACTCAACGGCGACAACGACAACAACAACAACGACAACTAAACAGCGCAATCCGAACAAGCAGCACCAGCATAGGGTCTGCCAGCTTCAGTACGTGGCCTGGCCCGACCACGGCGTCCCAGACGACTGCACAGATTTCTTGGAGTTTGTGGAATTGGTTAGGAAGAATAAAACTGGCGTCGTTGAACCTGCTGTCGTTCATTGCAGGTTCGTGTGTTGTTGTTTTGTATTGTTGTTCGAGTGCGTTGTTGTTGTTTTGTATTGTTGTTCGTGCGTTGTTGTTTTGTTGCTGTTTGCTGCTTTTGGTTGTTTTTTTTTAACATTGAACCACACTCATAAATTGCTTGCGGACTTAGATGTTAATGCTACCCAGGCAAAATGGGCTGCGGATAGTTTTTGAGATTTGTAATAAAAAAAAAATGTTAAGATCAGATGAATGTTCATGCTCTCAGTTAAAAGTTGAGGTTTTTAAATTGCTAGAATGAACTTTCCAATCACATTCCACGCAACCTATCATAACAGTGCTGGTATAGGTAGGACAGGTGTGCTGATAGCCATGGAGACGGCAATGTGCCTGATGGAGGCCAACCAGCCAGTGCACATGCTGGACATCGTCAGGCAAATGAGAGATCAGAGAGCCATGCTCATACAAACTGCTGTATGTTGCGTTGTTGCTGTTGTGGTGTGGTTGTTGTTGTGGCGTAGTTGTTGTGCTGTAGTTGTTGTTATTGTGGTGTTGTTGTAGGTTTATGAGTGGCTTATTACTGGTTAGTTTATTGTGTTCGTTCATCTTGTTGTTGTTGTTTTTTTGGTGGTATGGTTGGTTTTCCATTATGCATGGTGATGTGGTTTCATTGGAAAATTATCAGTCATGGTTAATGTTTTTGTTGTTTCTTTTTAGTAATCTCGTTCTTGTTATTGAGAGTATAAACGTTGTTAATATTAATTAATGACTAATTTATCCAACCAGGGACAGTACAAATTTGTATGTGAAGCCGTTGTGAAAGTATATGATGGTCAGTATATGTTTTATTGGTGTGTGTGTCTGTGCATGTTTGTGTGTGTGTGTGTCTGTGTGTGAGTGTGTGTGTGGTGTTGTGTTGGTGGTCATTTTTTTAATCAATCAACCAACCAACTAACAACAGAACAGATGGTTGTTCCTCTAGATGAATATAAGAAATGAAGATGAGGAGGATGATGAAGACGATGAAAGACAAGATGATGATGGTTATGATGATAACAAAGATGATGATGATAGTGAGAGGTTGTACAAATGACGATTGAGAATAAGTAAAGAGCCATCATTATAAATGATGCTAATGATGATGGTATTATGTACAGGTTTTACGAGAAATAATACAACTTATCAAAGAAAACTTTACAACGTTTTCAAAGCATTTTACAATTTATTTATAATTAAATTTATTTATAACTAAATTTATTTATAAATTTATTCATTTATTTAAATTTATTTATAATTAAAAATGTTTTATTTGTCTTATCATAAATATAGAAATATAGCAAACTCTCGGCTCAGCGGCTAACAAAAGGTTGTCAAATATTTTGAAGGAAGGTGTAGTAAAATTTCTTGGATAAGTTGTAATATTTCTCGTAGAACCTCTATTATTAATGGTGTTGTGTGTGATTATAGTGATGGCTTACTATTATGCAAAGCTGTTAATAATGATGTCTTTGTTTGGTTTAATAATAATAATAATAATAATAATAATAATAATAATAATGATAATAATGATAATAATAATAATAATGATGATAATAATAATAAACATTCATCTTCTAACTTTAACGTGTAATGAATGAGTTAATCTTGCTAATATTCCAGCCAAATTTTATTATTTGTATGGTTTATCTGTTTATCTATCTTTATCTATCTATCTGTCTGTCTATCTATCGATCTGTGTCTGTCTACCAGTTGATATCCACTCGTTCGTTTCATTGATTTGTTCATTTATTCACTTGTTATTACTATCACTTTGTGTGCGTGAATCTCAACTGTTACTACTACTACTGCCGCTGCTACTTTTCTGCCGTTGCTACTACTAGTACTACTGCTGCTAGTGTCGGTACTGCTATTACTACTAATAATAATAAGGATGATGATGTTATATTCTTTTTTGTTTTTAATGTTTCTCTACTTGTTTTTCAACATATTAGTTCAATAATAATATGAGATTGTTTTTTAACTGTAAATAAATGAAAGAATGATTGAATGAAAGAATGATTGAATGAGTGAGTGAGTGAATGAATGAGTGATTGATTGATTGGTTGAAGGAATGATTGATTGATTGGTTGAAGAAATTATTGAATGAATATTGTGTTGTTTGTATCTTTAAAAATGTTTATTTTCCAGTTTTTTTTCTCTCTTTTTTGATTTAGCACATTTTCATTAAAACTTATCTCATTGATGGTTTATATTGTGGCGTGAAGGATTAGGTTGATTGTAATGGTTATGATGATGATAGCAATAAAGATGATGATGGTGACGACGACGACGATGGTGATGATGAATAGAGAGAAGATGAGGATTGAGAATATGAATGTTGCCGAATGTTAATTATATATTATAAATAATTATCCGATTATAAAAATTTCTTTTTAAATAGAGTTTATTTAAATTGCAAAATGAAAATTATAACTATTAATTGATTAATTAATTACTTCTTACGGATTGATTGACTGATTCATTCATTCATTCATTCATTAATCAAATTATTTATTTGTACACAATACTCTAACTGCATGCTATATTATTGCTAATGTTACCTTTGTACATACTTATAGGTTTGTAATTCAGTTTCAACTTTGTATGTATGTATGTGTGTTTATATGTTATATATATTTGTATATTTATTATATGTATAAAGAGTTGTTGAATATTTAAACATTGAAAATCTTAACGTAGCTGTATATTTGTATGTGTGGTTTTTTTTTCTGTATGTCTTTGTGCATGTGGATTATATATTACTTTGTGTCTGAGTTTGAAAGCTTTTTCGTTTTTTTTTTATATCTCAGTATGGGTTTGTGAGCGCGTGTATATGTGTATGTGTGTGTATGAGTGTGTATGTATGTGTGTGAGTGTGTGTGTGTGTGTGTTTTTTTTTTGTTGCTGTGCGAATCGCAATCACAAAAAATGATGTGTCATTTCGGTCCATGCGTTTATTTTTTTTCTCGTTTGGATAACTTTCTTCTCCACAAAAATCAATCAATTATGTCACGATTCTATGATTTGTATTGATATTTTTGCACACCATTCTCATCAGAGATATGTAAAGAAGCACATACACACACGTGAGCACATATACACATATGTATGTCCATTCACACATACACACACATATGCATGTCCATTCACCTTTGTATGCGTAATTAATTCATTTTTGTACTTACATATAGCGTGTTTTTTTTTTATTTGACAAAAAATATAGCCAGGAATTTTTTTTACAGTTAGACTCACACATACACAGAAACAAACAAACACACACATACATAAACATACACACACAGACACTCTAACGTTAGTTTAGTCCATGACGTTTTGAAGTAATAAATTTATATAGCGCTATGACTGCAACATAGTAATAAATTAAAATTGAACAAACTAGATGCTATAAAGTTAAATAATTAAATAGGTATACAACGTGAATGTGATTTACATATTAAACACTTAAAAGATGTGCATATGATGTATATAGCAGGGAAATATACATTTTTTATGATATATAAATGTATATGTATCTATATATATTCACATATAATATGTTATTAATATATAAAAGTATATATCACATATATATATATATATATATATATATATATATATATATATCGTGAAGAATATGAAACCGTTGTATAGGACTGTAAATGGTATTGTATATATATATATATATATATATATATATATATATATATAACATAATTTAAGATACAAGATAAAACGGTTAGTATATTTTTTAT